CTGAACCCCCCCACCTCCCCCGTCCTGGCCTCAGAGCAGAGGGGCTCCAGCCCTCGGAGCATTTTAGTAGCCCCTCGGATAATTTTAGTAGCCCTCCTCTGGCCCCGCTCCAACAGGTCCATGTCCTCCTGGTGCTGAGGGCACAGGTAAAGGAGGAGACTTGGGTGCTGAAGCTCTTTGTTTGGGATTTCTCTCGTTAGGAAAAGGTTTACGTATGACCAGCTGTAACCTGATTGACCTCGATGACTAACTGGCTGCTCAGCCTGTCCACGTTCCAGCCCCAAGCCTCAGAAACACCAGACCTGCTTGGCAAGCTCCACATGGCTCCGGCACTTCCCGGCCCATTCCTACCCAGTGGATGAAGCCACTCCGCCAGCTGTGCCTGCAGCAGCCACTCCTGGCCCAGCCCGGTGAGGAATTAACACCGGCGACGCTAACGAAACGGGTCTCATTATTTATGTACCGTAACGCTCTGCCTCTCGTGCGTTGCACACACGCCTGCCAGCCCAGGACGTCTCGCACAGACCTGGCAGAAGCTGCGGGAGGATGCTGGTAGCTTGGTGGCAGGACACGGCCTGGCCTTGTCACTTCCCCAGCTCCTCACCGTCACGCGCTGAGTAAGGTCGAAGCGTTACCAATGCCATTTCGGAGCTGGGGGATGGACACCACTGCTAAAGCAACAGATACATGCCCGCAGCCGAAGCCTGCGGCACAAGAGAGGTTTGTCCCTTGGTCAAGGGCAAAGGGCTGATTAAAAACTCCAAAATTCCAGGCTATTTTCTTTCGCGCGAGATGCATTTCTTCTTTAAAATATTTTTTTTTTGGCTGAAAATGTTTTCAACTAAAGTGCGAGATGCATTTCTTCTTTAAAATTTTTTTTTTTTTGGCTGAAAATGTTTTCAACTAAAGGGCAGAGGACCAGCAGCGCTGGGAGTCACCGACCAGGAGCTGGCCTGGAGCACCCGGCTTCTGCAGGGAAACCCCTTCCCAGGTGTCTCAAACATCCCAAAACAGAGGAAGGCTCCATTTTTGCTTTCAATATTTCTCTGGCTTGAAACAAGGTGAAAGAACAAGGCCTCGTATCGCTCAAATTCTGAAAAGGCGTTGTGGTGCCTGCAAGAAAGTCAGTCCAGCCGCATTGGTTTAATATATCTCTTAACTACAAGAGGAGTTCGGATGAGTGTTCCCTTCCAGGCAGCGCAGATCGTGGTTGAACGTGCAAGAAAAACATCTGAGTTGAATTTCGTTTCCACCCGAACACAATTTGCCAAAAGTCACAGCTATTCGAATGCCATTTTGCCTTTTTAAAAAATAAAAAAAAAAAGTAGTATTAAAATTGAACAGGGACCTATTAAAATGATTCACGGGCTTCACACGCATACAGCGATCCTCTACTTAGAACCAAAGTCAACCTTAGAACTAAAGCAAATACCAGGTCTAACAGCAAGGTTGTATTTACTCCAAACCAGCCAGCCTACAGCATTACCCAACTGTGAGAAAAAGCCCTCTGTTTCGGAAAATAGCTCTAAAGTACAAAAGCAACACCAGCTTGACGTTTATTTTTAAAATAGGTTTAGTTTTAAAGCGGATCTGCACGTCGGCTAGCCGCTAAGCCATGGTTAAATTCACCCATTTCAGTCGTTGGGATTTATCCAGTTGGCTGTGCCCCGGGATTCTCCCAACCCTCCAGCAGCTCGTGCTTCCCTCTCCGCCAAGCACGACGTCGATCAGCGCTTCCCGCGTCCTTTGCCGGCGCTGCGTTTCTCCACGTGCCATCGTGCCACCGCCCCTCTGGGCCGGGGTGAAGGACCGTGGCACGCAGAGAGCCACCGGTAACGTCCCCGCTGAACCAAACGCCATCGGCGACCGCCTGCCCTTTTTCCTCCGAGGACTTCAGCGTCGCAGCTCCACACCTCTGCCTCCTGCTTGCAGCGTAAGCCTATTTTTTTTTTTTTACCTTGCCTCTCTGACGGATGCATATATTAAACTGCACCTCCACTGCCTGCATTTCTCCCGAGGGAAGGCAGAAAGGGATGAAAACACAAGCGATGCTTTCCGCTCGAAGCCCAAACACAACAGATTTTAGCACTGCCCAAGCGTCCACGCAGAGCTGAAGCTTTCCACCCCGCTCCGGTTTCAGGGACGCATCGCCGTGATCTCACCCCACGACGGGCTGCCACCAGCCAAGCTTCTTACAAATCATACGCCTGGTTATTGCAAAAGCAATCATTTACAGTCATTCAGCCAGATTCCTGGGGGGTTAACGAGAGCTGTATCATCACAGGGATGAAATACCTTGCGTCTGGGCAGCACCACCCTTCCAGCTCCAAGCCACTCGGCAGCTCCAAGGGGCAGGATTGTTCCCCCAGTGGGGTACTCGCCCTTCGTTAAGGGAAGGATTTCATCTTGGGGAATGCCCCATTTAACAGATTAACTGCACTGGGGCCGACCCTGCACAGGCAGGGCAGGGTTTGAACTAAGCAGAGCTCCTTTTGGTTACCTGCAGGTAAATAATAATAAACCTCAGCTCCTCACGCAGGGCTCGACCCCATCTGGGCACGGGGTGCAGCCAACGCCACGT